AGACGTGAATAGGACCAACGAGGTCACCACAGCCACCACACGGGGAAAGTTGAGCTGAGTTGGAGCTCATTAAAAGACAGTTCTTAGAGCGAGAAGAGGCGTTGGTGTGTTGGAAGAATTTCTGGAATGAGAATAGACCACATTAGCCTCCAAAATGTGTTGGAAGAATTTCTGGAATGAGAATAGACCACATTAGCCTCCAAGAGACGCAGTCACATAAAAATAACATTTCCAATTATAAAATATCAAATACTCTTCAAATAAGCTTAAGGAAACTGCATAGCTATTATTCTATTAAAAGTATAATTCATATCCTTAAGAAACATAACCCGCTGCTTCGTAGTGTGCCGCGTTGAGGGTAAGTGGGAAACCCACTTTTATTAAATGACCTGTTATTGCATCACCAGTAAAACGCGAGCACCGTCCGTTGCTGCGGAGGGACCACGCCAGGAGTGTAAACCGGGCCAGTCTTTTCCACTGCGCCAATTCGAATGCCCAAAATAAGGTGATACTAATTATGAACTCAGACTAATTTTGAACACGACATTTTCTTGCTCACGGTAATTAGTCTCACATTCGAACGGTGTGACTAATTTCGAACTGTGACTATTTATTCACACAGACTAATTACCGTAGGCACTGTAGTGATTGTTGATAATACAGCTGTTTAATTTATAATATCAATCCCGGAGCGATTTAGTACAGTAACTGAAGAAATACTTAATAGCACACTATTTTCCTCGGATCCAAAACCTAAAAAAAGCTAGCGATTTAGAAAATAATACTACATGTAGCTCAAATTTCGATGAAGCATTTCATTTGGAAATGATTTATTTCCAAACTCACAGATGACTCTGCTTAGTTCCTTTAGACTGTTGCGCACGGCGACACAGGCTCGCTGCATTAGCAGCGCTCAGAAGAATTTGGCCGCTGCCATCGAAGAGCGCTACGCGTGCAAAGCCTTCCTGTCCACGCCTGTCTCCGATGAGACGCTCAAGGAGATCCTGAAGCTCACATTGCGCGCCCCGACGGGCTTCAACGTGCAGCCCTATGCGTGTGTGTTGGTGCGCGAACCAAAGGACCGTGAGAAACTAGCGGAGGCCATGATGGATAGTAACATCCGCAAGGTAAAGGAAGCCCCCGTAGTGGCGGTCTTCGCGGCCGATCTGGAGCCAAGCAAGCGCGTTCCGCGTCTGCAGCAGCTGGCCCACGACAACGGTGCTTCCGCGGACTTCGTGGCTAACCTGCCGCACTTTGTGCGTCTGTTTTCTGGCGAGGGTGTGGTGGCAAGCGGTCTCCGTGCGGCCATAGCGACGGCCGTGTCCCCGCTGCTGCCTGTGCCTTCCAACGTATCGACTGAAGCATGGGCGTTCAAGCAGACAGCATTCGCCGCTGCGACGTTCCTGTACGCCGCTCAAGCACACGATCTGGCAACGTGTCCGATGGAAGGATTCGACCAGATCCGTGTTCGAAACGCGCTGGACATCCCGGACCGATACGGCGTCCCGGTCGTGATTGCTCTCGGCCACGCCAACCCGGATGCTAAGCCCCAAAAGCCTTCAGTGAGACTGGACCCGACCGAGATCTTCTTTGACGGCAAGTTCGGCAACTCAAGTGACAAGATTTTCTCCGACAAGTAACACAAGTATGGACTTTAAGCTACACAGCAACTAAGTTTTTTTTAACACACACACTTAACTTGTCATCTTGGCATGTGTGTGGCCATCTTTCCATTGAGCGTTTCACACACACACCAAGTACTGTTCTATTTCTCTTCGCATACTGCAAAGCTCGATGTTTTACCAGCTATTCAATCTCTCCAACACCGAAGTTGCCCTTCGTCCGAGCCCAGACCTTCTCAATATCGCTCGCTTGGGTCCACTGCTGCTCTGATTGGCTTGTTTTCACAGATCCTGGAGTATACTGCTTCACCAGTGGGTTCGTCAAAGTGAGCTGCTGGTCCGATTGATGCACCGATTCCCCTGACGAGGCTCCTTCCTCGGATTGTTGCACCGAATCGTCCGTCGACTGCTGCTTCGTGTTGGCTTCGTCGGAGGCTGGCGAGTATTTCGTGATAGCTGAGTACGGCTTCATCGCCTCGAGGGCAGCTGTACCGTCGCGAGAAGTGAAGTTACCGCTGCTTACGAGGGTATTCTCTTTGCACGAGCGACCCAAATACTTGGTGCACTCATCCACTCCGGTGGCAGCGTAGAGGAACCCTTCTCCTTTTTTGTATAGAGGGTTCTCCACATTATTAAAGTAGTTTCCCTCGGCAAGCATCAACGCGTTGCCATCGAGCTCGAAAGAGTGGTTGGAGAGGTTATCCCAGTAGTTGTTGGCGACATGTGCGATAACGGAAGAGTTTTTGTCGCCAACCTTCGGAGATCGGCCCGAAGTTGAATGGACGTAGTTGCTGAGCAAACTGACGCCCGTTTTCTTGCCGTAGAGCAATATGGTCCAGTAGTGGCGTCCATTGCAAGTGGCCGAGTAGTCGGTTTCTCCGTCAAAGTCCGAGTTACTTACCGTCATGGTGGCGACGCCAGCCTTGTTCGTGACGAGCATTTGACGCCCCACACGGGAAATCTTCACGTGGTCAATCCAAATATTGTTCATCGTCTTGGTGCCGTTGACTGTTCCTTCCATGTAGAGCGCATCGCCACCCCAGACGAGATGACGGTTCAGCTCGGTGATGTGGATGTTTTGAACGATGATATTGTCGCCTTTGAGTGAAATGCCCTTGCCCATGATAACTCCGCGTCTACCAATACCACGAATAGTCTTGTGGCTGGTGACGTTCATACGCCACCGATAAGCGTTGTCGTACGTCACTGTGGTCTCCGTGCCGTTCTCACAACCACCGGTGTTGTTCATGCCGTTCTTGAGAATCACGTCTTGGCTCTTAAACCCATTATTGGCAGCGATGCATTCGCGAGCGCTCTGTGGACGGCAGCCGATCTCGGTTGTCTTGCCCTCAGTACCGCGAAAGTCGAAAGTCTTGTTCAGCACCACGACGAGTGGCTCTGACGCGTTCAGATAGTCGACCAATTCCTTGTTTGTTTTCGGATACACGACGGTACCTTTGGCCCCACCGGTTGTACCAGCAGCTAAACCCGGAGCTGAGCCGATAGTGAAAGCACTCGCACTCTTGACTGCCAGAGCCAATGCTGCGGTGATAACGAGTTGGAGACGCCCCATGCGCCCTAGACTGTAAAATCTGACTTGTGATCTTGTAGAGTCTAATTGCAGAATGACAAAGTTGTTAAGTCGTAGGGGATAATGCATGGAGTGTACCGGTACGCGAGGAAACCACATTAGTAAGTGCAGTTTACGGTGGACTAAAAAAATTGGCGCGACGGGCGATGGGACTCATTAATTGCGATGGGATCATAATAGCCAGACCACGATTTAGCGACGCAGAGCGATCAACACGAGTCGTGTGCCAGCAGTGCTCGCTCGTGTTGATCCTGGGATGAGAAATACCATGGAGCTCGAGCAGGGGCTATTAATGGTAACCAAATATCATACTTCTCTGTCCCACCAAATTAAAAGAATTTTGGGTTTTTGACAGTAGCACTACCAGTATGAGGTGAAACAGAAACGCCGTATATATACTTCATATTGGCGGTATTTTCGGATAGGAGGACATAAACTGTCGTAAATTTGTGTTTGTACAAAAACTTTATAATTATATAGTATTAGTTATCAGCTGACATCCGTTCCTTATTCACGCCCTTTCCTGGCGTGGCTGCATGGTAAAAGCATACAGTCGGCGCATGGACACCCATAAATTACGCTCTGCGTAATTTATATCCATACTGAAATCAAGTATTTACCGCCGATCAGTTTTTCACCGCATCAAGTTGCTGCTAAGTTGCATTGTCAATTTTGTAGTCCATGTATTGAGTCCCACGTATAATCCATAAATCACCCGTGCATTAGGCATGAACACGAACACAGGTAACGTTAGTATTATAGTCCATGTATCGAGTCCATGCATTGGTCAGATATCCTCTGTGTATTTAGACTCAAATTAGATGGGTTAGTTAGATCTACCATGGAGCACTAGCTGAAGCATGTGAAAGCGCAATATCGTGAGACCTTTTGGAGTTACATCCAGCGCAATGCTATTGTCTACCATTCGCCAGAGTCGTAGCATTACGAAGAAACCACAGTTGTGGCCGTCCGTCTGAATTGGCGCGTTGATGGATACAACCTCATAGTCGTCGCTCAGGGTTTTCGCCAAATCCCAGGACAGTCGATCCAGCACGGTCTTGTAAGTCCTCTGGTTCATGGAGTCATAATAAAGGACTCGAGTTCGCTTCACATCTACTGCAATTCCGCTATATGTCTTCATTCACGGAGTACACCATATTATGCACGAGTGTATCGATTGCATCATGATCATCTTGTGAGATCTGCCCATTCTCAGGCTTTCTGGAGCTGTGCGCAGGTACTTGATCACATGAAAGAAGCAGATCAACACACGCGCCTTGGGGAAGTACTTCTTCAGTACGCGAATCTCGTGCAAGTCTTTATCGACCATGATAACTTGCACCTTTTCGCCGATCTTATCATCTACCCGCAACAGGTTATCTAAAACACGTAACATGTGCCAGTCGGCATTTCGTTCGATGAGCGAATGTTGAATTGGCTGCCCACGACCGTTATCGTCAATGACCATCAAAGTACACAGTTGGTAGTTGTACCTAGAACACACGAGCAGATTGATATGAGATAAAGATCAATAGATGGACAATACAAGGAAAATACCTAGACAATACATAGATATAACCTACCGGTTGGTCTTGTGAGTACAATCCACTAGCAACAACTCGGGGAAGCGTACGGTCATGTCTCGCTGGTGCCTCGAAGTCATGCTCATGACACCGGAGTGCCCAGCGTCAGTCTCGTCCACAGTCGCCACGTTGCCATCCATCGCTGCAAACTCGGTAAGTGCTTGTGCGCAGGTATCATCATCGTCGAGTCCGCCTCGAAACTCGGCCTTGACACGCTGGACAATGTTGTCCACGTCTTTCTTAACCAGGCTTTCCCCTTTGTCGGGCAGGTACTCGTAAATACGAGCGCGCTTGCGCCCGTACTTACCATTTCGCGCACGGTGGACCTTGTCTCAGAATCCTCCAACTTTCGGTTCTCTGCGTCAGTTTTGAAGTGGGCGGTACCCACGACGTGGTTGTGGTGGTAAACCCCGTTCTTCACTCGAAGCAGCCACTGGCCTTCCTCTTCCACGACTTGAACCACGAACCGAAAAGGACACCCAGTGCCACGAACAAACTGCTTCGGCCGCACACCTGTGCTCCGATCCTTCGTCCGCCACCCATGCGTACAAATATATGTGCGCTGGTACGTTGCCCACTGGGTCGGAACGTATGGTACGTCAAGACCTTCTCGTGCAGCGACAGTTTTAGCCAATCGCTTGTTCCGCAAGTCGCAGCTCACAGTCATGGAAACTCGGATGATCTGCCGCGTTGAAGATGCGTACTTCTTCAAATAGACCGCCCAGTCGGCCCAGCTTGAGTGAAGGGCTTCCGGGGCACAAACAGGCACTGGACAATCTGAAAGCTGGACGCTGCATGGACGTTCCGCATTGTCGGTGCCCGACTCGTCGGAGTTCTCAGAGCCTTCTGCAGAGTTCGTAGGAGCGGAAGGAGCAGCATCTGACGCCTCTTCGCTCGAGCTAGCCTGTTGAGGGCACGTAGTTAGCAAAACCGACATACGTATGAGATCAGGTAGTTATGCAACGCACCTCTGGCGGACCTGTCGCGGTTTCTGAGGCCGGTGATGGCGGCGTCGGCAGTGAAGAGGGCGCGGGAGGCTCCAGTGGGGGAGTTTCAGACTTGCTATCCGACATATCGGAGCGGGGGAGGGCGGCAACGACGTGCACAGCGACGACGGTACCGGAAGCTCCGGCTTATCGAAAGTGAAGTGAGTGGCTGTGGTAGCCCTCAAAATCGTTGAGAAGCATGGACATTTTACATGCATAATACATGTATTTTACACAACCCGTAATTTATAATTTTCAGGTCGGTAATTTTACAGCCTGGACAATACATGGATGGCCACCTGGACAATTCATATACTCAGCGCATGGACGATAGCATTTACGTATATTTTTTGTGGCTTGATAACAGCGACCAGCAAGTAAATAGCGCCATGAATGTGGGCTCATATTTGGAGGAAATTCTGTTATTTTTCGGAATTCGTAGGTTTATTAGCGACATTTTACAAAACTTGCAGCTGTCGCGGTCTTCCTCTAATCGGGGTCGTGAGTATCTTGGGCCGACGTAGGAGGTATTAGTATTAGCGACACTACTGTGATAGTAATGTAAAAGTTGATATATTCTTGTGTTGCTTGTTAGAAGGAAATCCACGACTGACTTCCTCATTTCACCTCGCTAAGAGTTTTTAGAGCTTCTTACCTTTTAGCAGATCCCTCGTGCGTGGCGGTCCAGCTCCAAGTCCCGCCACGACCAGCTGCTTCCCGACTTCACACTTGGAACGTCACTATCTTGGTCGCAGGTCCCGCTTGCTTGGACGTGGTCCGGAGAGTCTGGAGTGAGTAGACCTTCTGCAGGCAGTCAGCCAGCATCGTTAATCCACTATCTAACTGTACACCGTGACAATTTTCCCCGACTGACGCTCGCTGACCTCGCCAAGCCACATCGCCCGGGGCGTGTCGCACGGTGTCTTCCACTGTCAGATCTGGAACGTTCCCACGTGACGTTCCACTTGCCTTCGGACTCTCGTTCCTTACTCCAGACGACGTTCCTTCGGCCTGCATGCCTCGCAGTCGCTCCACGCTAGCTCGCTCTCTTTCCTCACGACGCTCTATACGACCAGCCAGTCCTTCCCACTTGCGTCTCGCCGCTTTATCATTCTGGTCCATAGCGCTCGGCCGGAGCCCTTCATAATATCGCATCACGTAACTGATGCAACCGACAACTAACACAGCCAAATTCCAGTAGCAACAGCCGATTTCAAACTCCAGGTAAACGTACACGATCAACACAACCAGCGTCACTCCTGTAATGGGCCCCTCCATTACATAAGTAGGTAGATTTCTTTACATAAGTAGGTGCATCAGCACACGACTAGCGTGTGCTGAAATGCTGTCATGCCATTGGCTGATATATGGGGAGCCAGACCCATTATTAGCCAACTAGACTATGACGTGTATTTGAGTGGCCAGGGCTGTGGCCTTGGTCCTAAAATAAAGTCAGAGTTGATTTTTCCTTAAACCTAAGACTCAGTCGTCCTATTGCGAGCTTCCTCAACACTATAGTGTAAGCAAGTAACGGAGTAAATACCTGGTCCGTTAC